ACGTTTTTAGAAATTTTTTTCCCTGACATTCATCTATCTCGTCTTTTTCTTAACGTTTTTAGAAATTTTTTTCCCTGACATTCATTTATCTCGTCTTTTTCTTAACGTTTTTGGAAACAATTTTACCTGACATTCATCTATCTCGTAGAACTGAGATTTATCCGCACTTCGTTTATTGTTATTTCTTATCTTCTTTCTACAGGCTTAAACATCATTGTACTTATTTTAATTACCAAACTCCATGTTTTATGATAGCATAATTACAACAACGAAACAAGTTTAACAACATTTTAAATTCGCTAAATGTATACAATGTACACCCTCATGAATGCAACAGTCTACGACATAATAGAAACTTTCAGTATCGAGACAGCGATAAAGAAAATCGAAATTACTCTGAAAAATCAGGTAAAAAAGTAGACTGTAAATACCAATATCTGACGCATGAAAATTTTTAACAGCGTACACGAAAAAAGCGAAATCGTTTTGGAGCGTAAACACTATATAAATGTTGTGGCGTGAGGCCGAACTTTTCCCTTCCTTCTGGTGTGTAATCTATTATCCTGGCTGAGGTATTTTGGCATATAGCTGCAGCCAACGACAGTGACTTTGAAAACCAGAAGTAAAATGGTTCATACTTTTGGCCTTCTAAAAATACTGTTACATTACAATTACCTTTGGCCTTCTAAAAATACCGTTATATTACAATTACCTTTGGCCTTCTAAAAATACTGTTACATTACAATTACCTTTGGCCTTCTAAAAATACTGTTATATTACAATTACCTTTGGCCTTCTAAAAATACCGTTATTACATTACATTTACCTTTGGCCTTCTAAAAATACCGTTATTACATTACATTTACCTTTGGCCTTCTAAAAATACCGTTATTACATTACATTTACCTTTGGCTTTCTAAAAATACTTATATTACAATTACCTACGGTCTTCTAAAAGACCGTTATGTTACATTTACCTCGAGTTTCCTAACCATAGTTATATCACATTTACCTTGAGCTTTCTAACGATACAGTTATATCACATTTACCTTGAGCTTTCTAACAATACAGTTATATCACATTTACCTTGAGCTTTCTAACAATACAGTTATATCACATTTACCTTTGGCCTTCTAAAAATACTGCTACATTACATTTACCTTGAGCTTTCTAACAATAGTTATATCACATTTACCTTGAGCTTTCTAACAATACAGTTATATCACATTTACCTTGAGCTTTCTAACAATACAGTTATATCACATTTACCTTGAGCTTTCTAATCACCGTCATATTATATTAAAGCATCACTCGAGCTCGGTGGCTATTTAAAAAATGGATGCCTTAAATAACACTCAAGATTTGCACTCTACTATCTACGAAGACAAACAATCGCATCTCGTGGTAGATGGATACATATACATTTTTATACACACACCTCAAAAGGATAAAATCAATATGCTCAACCACGTGTGAATGGTTGTGGTGTTTTATCGTCTGATTCAGAATTATCTAATTGAACAATGGCACGGCTTCCTCAAACTAGATCCTTCAATAATGATGTTATAAAACTGTAGGAATACAAACGTGTAAAATGTTACCTGCAAAAAATGGCGAAGGCACTCCGAGCCGTGGGTTTTTAACAACTGTTGCAAGTTTTCCATGCCATACCGCCGCAAGTCAAAACCATTTGTGGTCATTCTGTGTTACGGGCAACAGAACACAGCAGGAGGAAACTCTCTTGGTCATCGAGAGGTAGAAGCTTAGGACTGACAATCGCACAACACATCGTCCATAGAGTTGATGAGTGATCCCATTAAAGTACAGGACAATCATTGACCATTCTCCAGGTTCCGAACAGACAGGCAGTTCTATTGAACTCTACATTGTGGTTGATGATTCTGCTAAGATCGAATATCAACCACCGCACTAGGTAAATCAGCAAAACTTCCACATCCACACACAAGGAAAACTAGGCATGTAGTAGAGCTCTCTTCTCCCCCACTATATGAATAAAGCGGGCGACAACATAGGGACTCTATACTATTGGGAAACCACGTGGGATAGCCTGACATTCACTTGATATTCTTCTATTTCAAAATGTCAACGGGTGTTAGTTGAGCATCATAATGTCTCCTTAGTTTCGTTTTTTCAGTTATTAGAGCAACAATAAAAAGATGTACATAAGATGCTCGTGTTTAATCAAGAAGATTACAATGGATGTGCCACAGGTGATTTTTTTTTATAACGCATCTATATATTTACTATACACGGAATAAGGATTTAATTCATCTAACTCACCAAGATTGATGGATCAACACGAAACATCCATTGCAGGAAACGTCCAAGAAATAAATTATGTAAAGAACAGACTAGGTTAAAATATTAATACTAGCGTGCGGTATGTTTAGAAACACTTACACTAGGTGGTGTTAAATACAGCTGTGCTATGCACTGATGTTAACGAGCTGTAATATACAACCTCCTGTAGCCAGAACAGAGTATTGTAGGAGAACCCCGGAGAGCTAGAAAACCGTGGGAGAGTCTAGAGTTTACAGGCAGTGGCGATCATTAAGAGCGTTGGAGGTAGGCATATCCGATAAGGTTGCAATTTCACAATACAGAAGAAAAACGCCATCTACACCATATAACTTCCATGATATGAGAACGAAAACTCTAGGATTTCAATACTTTCCGAGCATATACCTATTTTGATATATTTATTCAGATAAACTTGACAAGTCTTATCGAGTTCACACGATGCCATACATTAAAAAAATAGATAAATTGAAAGTTTCTACATCTTTTACTCAACATTTTATCCCAAATGATCAAACAATCCGGTTGGCATAGTTATTTTATTGGCACTTTTCTGTCAGCTTATTAAAATCTTTACTTAGCTCTACTAACACCCAAGATGAAGCACTGGAATAACCACTCACCCTACAACGCGCTAGCTGGAACTCTTCTGTTTCGTTCATTCTCTATAGTGGAGGCGAGCAGCTTGATAGAATGCCCGATAGGTGGCGATACAGTAACACGAATAGTTGATTTATAAAAGGAACAAGCGTGCTAACCCCGCCCCTTAAGAAACTAAATACCAGTAGTAAAACATACATTAGATTAGACTAGTGGAACACTTTTATTAGAAAGTACAATCCATTTTCCTTCAAGTCTACAAAACATACAGTAGAAACTCTTATTAAATACCGTGTGATATTACTAACATTTTTTGTAAGTTTCAGAGTTTTATAAAAAATACCCAAACCTTTATATTCACATATGTGCAACAAACCCCAAGTAAAAATAAAATAAGCAAATATTCTTATATGCAAGTGTCGGAGTGACCCATCACATCCGATTAAGTAGGGGCGACATATTAAGACACTCGTGATCTGTGATGCCTTACCCCTTTGCTGTTTGTGTATGTACAAGAATGGTGCCTCAGACTAGATGTGACCTAATAAGTAGAGGCGACGTCTCAGACATATGATATGTGAATTAGGAGATATGACCCTACATGACCCGTACAGGAAAACGAAAGTCTCAACCTCCAAGTGTAATTTGTAAAGTGGGAGCGATGCTTCAGAATAAATATAAAATAAAAAAATCGCGAAACCTTAGATCAGATATGGTCTTTACACGAAGTATAATCTCAGAACACCTTTGATCTATTCTATAACCTCAAATAGCTAGATTTTATAATGTGGAACAATTAACCAATTCAGTTGTTCCACATTATGACTGAGTCTGGTGTAATTAGATTTAAACAGGCATTTTGTACTATCAGATTGTTATAAGAATGGTACAGGTTGACTATCACTAATCCGGCATCATCGGGACCTGGAGGGTGCCGGATTAGCCATCTATTAGGTTAGAATACACCAAACCCACTAGCTAACCACCTCATCTTAAAATTAAAATATCCCATAAAACAGTACAAGTTGATTAATAAAGAAAAGATAATTATCAAATAAATTCAAGTTAAAAAATTAATGAAATACAGGCACAGGTACACTACAAATTAATCCTTTCAAGCGAGACT